AAAAGTTAGGTGGACAATCCCTTGTTAACAATTTCACCATTTGATAGAGATTGATAATCACTCGTTTTGAAACTAATTGTACGTGGGCCGTAAAAAGGTAATGTAATGTCTATTTATTAACAAAAAATTTTCCAAATGATTTTATTTTATCCCAACCTATTGGAATACTATTTATTAACCAAACGCTAAATCTTTGTTAACCATTGATCATTTTCCCTCATTCTTTTTTATTAGCCAAACCTATTGAATTACTAATAATTAGCCAAATGTTAACTTTCAGTTAGGAATTTTGTTAATAATATTGACTTGGCAACATGATATTGACTTGGAAGAGACACATGGAGGTCAACATTCCAAAATTTTAGTATTTTAACTAAGAAAAGAGTTACAAAATTATTAATATAACGTATAAATGACTAATATTTTGATGCTTCACAAAAGATTTGGTCAATTATTAGTATTCAATAGGTTTGGCTAATAAAAAAATACGAGAAAGATTTGGCTAATAATTAGTGTTTACCCAATTTTATTTTATTCATTGATGAGGTGGCAACTAAGTTGGACAATGAGGTAGAGCATCATTTAAAAGTAGTTATGGTAATGAATTAATGGCTGTTACTTGGACGTGTTACAAAAATTTTGCCTAATTCTTAGTATTTCAATAGGTTTGGCTACTAAAAATTTTAAAATTTTTGATTAATCAATATTCATGTATTCCCATAGTTATAAAAACAGAGATTTTATGCAGAAGCGTTTTGGTGACCTACAAACATAAAAGCGTAAGGTTTTAAGTTTTAAAGCGCGAATTTAACTACATTGATCTTGATATTACATGTGTTTATTGAATACATCACTTGAAATTCCAACTTTCAAACTACCCAAAATCACAAATCAACTCCAAATAAATTCGTTTGAAAGTGCCTCTTTCTCCTTTTATTCTACTCCTCTACTCTCCTTGAATGACCGGGTCCAAGTAATTCAAAGAATGTCCCTAGTCCAAGTAATTTAGGCGGTCCTTTTTTTCTAGAACAGACTGTCTCATTGATTGTAGTTCCAAAGAGTTGATGAATGTGCTGCTTTGTGCCGATTCTAAAGTGATAAATGCAAGAGGGGGATTGTCAGGATGCCTAGGTTGGTTCCATCTTGCGATAGATAGCTACCTTATTGGATGATGAAAGGGTAGAGTACAATAGTGGGAAACTATTCGGTCCGGTTTAACCACCCCAATTTTACTCGGTTTTTTTATGTGAATATTGCTTAACATACAACCGAAAATAGGATTAGATTGGATACGATATCGTGAGCGAATTAGATTGAATCCAGTTCGGTTCGGTTCAACCGTAAAAACCATATGTGAATATTCTCCTCTGGAAAGCCTTTATTTTGGGAAAAATTAAATTAAAAAAAATGATTTTTTTTAAACTGTTCACTTCTCTCCCTCACACCCGTAGAACCGCTAATTCCCCTAACCTTTTTTAATTTTATTTAGTGGTGGCTGATTGGTTTTCAGTTAGCGGCTAACCAATGGTTTTACCCGATAATAGTCGGTTAGCGGCTAACCGAAAAGCGATGGGAAGGCAACGAAGGTAGGTGTTCTGACTCACTCCTACTGTCACTCTAGAAAATGGCCAAGTGAAACCACTTCCTAAAGCGTAGTATAGCGGGTTTGGGTTTTAATGTCAATCCGGGTCCTAGATTTGATGACTACTTGGTGAATTCTTGTTATCTAGCAATGACACTTTAGTGCAGGTCCAAATTAACAAACAAACAAAGCAAGTAAACGGTTGTTTTCAAGTCGAGAGAGGTCACCCGGATTTGGTTCCCCCTAGACTGCAGTTAAGCCGGATTGCAATTTACCAAGTTCAATTTCTATGATAGTTATACTGCGGAAGGTTCTTAAACAGTCTGAAGTCTCGACTAAAGGTCTCCAGACCCTCTCAATCTGAGTCTCTAGCGGGCGACTAACCTCTACTGGAGTAAACAGATTGAGGCCCTAACGAACAAAACCTCCACTACCGAAGTAAATTCGGTACAGAATAGTGAATTGGTTCCTCGACTAAAGTCGCCAATTCACTACCTTCAATTAAGGGTGCTCTATCAACCTAGGCAGATATTCTCATTCTAGATTAAAGCAGAAACAACAGGAATTTGATCAGGATTCATGTCATTCAATCATTCAAACCTCAATTGAATATAATCAAATCATAGAATCTGTACTTGGGTTCATACAATCATACCTAACATACAAATCTAGGGTTTCCCATACCCAGATGAATGGGAGAACTACTCCATGGAGAAAGAAGCAAAAGCAGATTCAGATGCGGAAACCATACTGTGAAGGATGGATTTATGCTCCTGGGCGTTGATCGGCACTCCTCCAAGCTCAAGCCAAGCTCCAATGGTGATGAAGATCAAGCTAGGTCACTAGGGAACTCTTGTTCGTCGCTCTCTCTCGAGGAATCTCTCTGTCTCTCTAAAACTCGAATCCCCCTCACTTGTGGCTGGAAGTTGGCTTAAAACCAGAAAATCCCGACTCACACGGCATGTCACACGGCCGTGTGACTTTCCCAGATGCCCGTGTGGCTTTGCAAAACGCGCCGTTTCGATTAGTGACTTCAGCCATCCCACGCGGCCAGGACCCACACGGCCGTGTGAGTGTTTAGGCTGCCCGTGTGGCTTTTGCCGAGCCTTCACATGGCCATATGGCCAGTCCACACGGCCGTGTATGTCGTGCCCGTGTGGCTTGCTCAGCCTCTGTTTAATGCTTCTTTTCTCCCTCGTCCGGACTCCGAATCAGTCGCTGTTTGATCCCAGACGCTCGTAGTCTCGTCCTCTTTCTTTTCATGACAAAATTCCATGATTAGTTGTCCATAATATGAGGTATAAGTCTATTATTCCTCAGTTCATGCTCGTGTTTCTTCTCCCGAATTGCCGAATGATCTCCGATTGACTTCAAACTTGCGCCTATACTTCAATTTACATGTTAGTACCTGAAATGTGACAAAGGAACACAACCTAGCATAAAATAGGCCAAAGAAGCGATAATGCAAGCTTAAACGATCAAGAAACAAAGGGGAAAACATGTGCAAATATCGAGTCATCATGTTCGGTGGGGGAGAGGGGTTCTTCGACTAGCCGAGTAACCATAGGCGATTAACCACGGTTACTCGACTATCTGAAGCTAACCAACCTCCGGACTCACCTTCAGTATATTGGGATGCGGCGCCGGGGGAGGGCTAGTGAGCGATGCAGGGAGGTGCCACCGACTGAAGGAAACAGATGACGAGCTACAGCAGAGATGGCAGGTAGTTAATGACGCTAGGAAAGGTACTGTACTAGGGAGGCAAGGAGGAGGATGGTGCCGGTTACCCACAACGAATCCATTGTTCTTGGTGTCTTCTTCTTCAATCTCCACTCATATTGAAATCAGAGCTGGGAATTAGTGGGGAATCAGGGCTGATTGTGCAGGAATTGCAAAACTCTATGAGATAATCTATTTATTTCCAAACGACACCAGTTTGTCCCACCCACCAATTTTCACCCCCCCCCCCCAAAAAAAACGAATATGGAAACCTAACCAAATCTGCTAATAATCTTCCTCGTTCATCGCCCTCTGCTCTGCAGCCACCCTCCAGACTCCAGCAACCCTTCCCTTACCGTCTCCTCTACATGACCCCGCTCCTCCGCGTCCTGCTCCGTCCTCACTGTCTCCCCTCCCCGACCCGGTGACCTCTCCCCTCCACGACCCCAGTCCTCCTTCATCTTCTTCCCCGATCGCAGAGAGCCAGTGACAAAACAACGGTCGTCGTCCCGCTTGCCGGCTTCCTCTTCTACCTAAATTCGTCGGTTTCCACTTCCGCCTCAGATTTCAATTTCTGTTTCACGGCTAACCGAGCCCAAAACTGAAAATTGCTCGGTCGATGGGCCGGTTAACCAAGCGTGGCCTTCGGTCGGTAGCTATTTGGACAACTTTGGCTAACCGATGACCGATGTTTCAGTTTTTGGTTAGACCAAAACCAACAGAGATCCACCCTTAGACACCACACAAAGAGGAGAAGGTGAAGAAGAATCTGAACTCTTCCTGCCAGTCAATCACCTCCCTCCATCTTGTCCCGTGACTCCCGTCAGTGACCAGCTGAGAGCCAACTATCATCACTACGCCACCAGAACTCACCAATCAGCAATCGCCTCCTGCATCATCCAATCGGCGACCAGACACTACGACATGCACGACAATGTCAAGCTCTCGCACTCCGACAGTGCCATCGACAAAAATGATTGAGGTGGCGAGCCAACTCTCAATTCGTGTGAGATTCCGTCACGGTTTCCTCTCTCCATCCACCATCCCGTTTCGATCTTTCTTTTGGTTGGATTTGTAGGAAGAAGGTCAGCATATCAATAAAATTAGGGTGGATCTCGGTCGATTTCGCTCTAACCAAAAACTAAAACCTTGGTTATCGGTTCATGAAGTCGTCCAAATAGCCACCGATAGCCGACCGAATGCCATGCTTGGCTAACCTACCCACCGATCGAATGGTTTTTGGTTCCAGGCTCGTTAGCCGTGAAACCAAAATTGCAATCTGAGGAGGAAGAGGAAACCGACGACCTGAGGCAGAAGAGGAAGCCAGCAAGCGAGACGACGACCGCTGTTCTGTCTCGGGCTCTCTGCGATCGGGGAAGAAAATGAAGTAGGACCGGGGTCATGGAGGGGCGAGGTCGCTGGGTCAGAGAGGGAAGACGACGAGGTTGGCGCCGGACGTGGAGGAGCGGGGTCGGGGAGGGAGACTTTGAAGGAACGGTTTCTAGAGTCTAGGGGGTGGTTGTGGAGCGGAGGGCGATGGACGAGAAAGATGATTAGCAGATTAGGTTAGGTTTTCGTATTCGTTTTGGGAGCGAGGTGTTGGAAATTGGTGGATTGGACAAAATGGGGTTGTTTGGAAATAAATAAATTATCTCATATATTTTTTCAATTACTGCACGATCTCCCCTGATTCACCCCCATGTCCCAGCTCCGATTTCAATATGAGTGGAGATTGGAGAAGAAGACACCAAGAACAGAAGATTCATTGTGGGTAACAAACACCATCCTCCTCCTTCTCATCCTCCCCAGTACAGTACATTTCAAGGCATCGCTAACTACCCGCCACCTCTACCACAGCCCGCCATCGGTTTTCCTATGTCTATGCCACCTACTGGTATCGCTCACTCGTCTTCCCCCGGCGCCGCCTCCCATTATACTCAAGGTGAGGCTGGAGGTTGGTTCGCTTCGGTTAGCTAAGTAATCGCGGTTTATCGTCACTAGTTACTCTGCTATCAGAAGAACCCCTCTCCCCGACCGAACACAGACCGTTGTTGCCTTCCCATCAATTTTCAATTAGCCGCTAATCGATGGTTATCTGTTGATAATGCTATATTTGATCATGTTTTCCTCCTTCATTTCTTGATCGTCTGAGCTTGGTTTCTCGCTCTCGTGGCCTATTTTACACTAGGTTGTGTTGGTTGATGATGTTTTAGGTCCTAGCACGTGAATAGGTACGAAGGAGCGAGTTTTGGGACATTTTGGAGGAAAATGGCAGAAAGCAGGGAGAAGTTACAACCCAGCCTAAGGAGTTACGGTTGAAACTGTAACTTTCCCTAAGAGCCCGTAACTTCTCAAGGGAAGGACCAAGGATTCCATGAGAAAAAGTGATGATAGACAATTAGTAGGCGGATAGTCTAACTTGGTAATACATTAAAAAAAATGGTGATGATGTAATTAATTTTCGGTAATTTTTTGTTTTGCACAGGGGACGGTGGCCACTAGTAAGAATTTAAGGAAAATTGGGAGGGTAATTTGGTGCTTGAGCCGAGTATATGGAGCATTTTTAGGGGGTAAAAAAAACCTAACCCTAGACGCTCTCCCTCTCGTTTTGCTCTGAAATGGGAAAAGAGGATCAAAAGTGAAAACCAAAACCTCACTTCTATCGGTCCATTTTTGTCTTTCTAAAAAAAACGATCAGTCTCTCTTCTTGTCTCTTCATTCACCTCACCAGAAACGAAACTCCTTCTCCCTCTCACTTGTTTCTCATTCAATACCTGGGAATCAGGCAAAGGCTAGAAGAATGATGAAGCTCTGGTCAGCCTCCACATCGACGGTAATGACGATTTGGGGATTGCATGTCCCATTTTGGGGCTCGATTTGGTTGTTTCTGTTTCTGATAGGATTTTTGTTTATGTTTTGGTGCTCGCCAAGAGGTGAAACGGAAATGGGGTCACCTGACGGCGAGGGCTTCCGATGGTTGTGCGAAGGAGAGAAGCCACCGGTTATTCAATTTCTGGGTAAACCCATGTTTCTTTTTATTTTGATATATGGGAAGTTTTATGGTTCTGATTTGTTTTTTTTATTTCATTTGGGGTTTCAGGCGAGAGGGTTGGAAGTAAGGGAGCCGCCGCCGCCGGCCTGAATCTTACCGGCGACTATGATGACGAGTACAGAGGGATAAATTTTTTGTTGGTTTGAGTAATGCTCTCTTAAACTCTACTTGGCAAGATTAGTGAAGCGGATTGGCACGGTTGCGTACAAAGTTGAGTTGTCATCGCACTTAGAGATTCACCCCGTCTTTCATGTGAGTCAATTGAAGTCATATCATGAAGACAAGGAAGACGGAGCGCGGAAGGAGTCGACGAGGGAACCAACTCTCGTCACCACAACACATGAGCACGAAGTGGAGAAGATCATGACTTATTGTGTTGTGCCTAGGCGCGGTGTTCACCCAAACTACGCGGAATATCTTGTCAAGTGGAAGGGACGACCAGAAAGCGACATCACTTGGGAGAAGGAGCTTTCGCTATGGCGTCACAAAGACTTGATTATGGCATTTCATGTGGAGTCCGCGACGAGGGCGTCGCGAGAATAAGTGGGGGAGAATGTCACGAGGAAGATTCTAGAGCATTCTAGAAGGATGTAGGTACATGCATGCATCTTCCGATTCATGCACCAATGTACATACATCCCCCCTTATCTATCTTTATTCATGCAACTTATTTATTACATTCATGTATGTGGCAAGTTCATGTATGGGGGACTTCTAGGTTCGTTCATTTATGACGGCCACATATATTGTACTTAGTGGAAAGGATGACTATATAAGCATCCCTCTCTCTCATTTGTCATTCATCCAGAAATAAGAGAACTTTCCATCTCTAGAGCTTTTCTCCCAACTTGTGAGTTTGAGTGAATACGAGCAAGGCTGACTTAGCGCTCTAACGAGACTTGAGAGCTAAACGCCGCACGACCAAGAGTTGGTCCGTGACAAGTTACATGAAAATGGATTATAATGTCGTGTATTTGAAATGGATTATGCATATGATTTTCTATTGAGTGTGCGTGTTTGGGTAATTTGAAAATATGGGATTTATGTTTAAGTTTGGTTGTGGGACTGGTAATTCATGGTGATAATAAAATGGGTTTAGGATATGAAATATGGTGTGTATGTGGATTTGACATAAATTGGTATCTTATAGTTCTTGAACCTAGCTTCAAAATTTCTGCCCTATTTTGGTATTTGGGGGAAATTTAATTGATTGTGATGGATTTTGGAATTGGACGTTTGTGGTATGTTATGTTTGACCTTAAAGTTGTGGGTGTTTATATGGCTTTGAAACTGAAATTTTGTGGGTTATTGGCGGTGATTTGGATATCGAAGAGTATGCTATTGATGGTTTCGGGACTTGGCTGAACTAGGGGTTGGTACAAATATCTTTTTAAACCCAATTTGTTAAAGAAAAGTGGTAATAGAGATGAATGACAATGACAACGATGATGAATGATAGATAGGCTTTACTGATTACCAACCTTTTTCTTAGTACTTAGTAGTTTGGCAATGACTATGCCCCTCTCTCTGAACTTTTTTTTTTTTTTATGGGAACCTGTGATAATTTCATTCAAAAAGGATCAAATGAACAAGTTACATGGGCTTCGGCCCATATCCCTCTCAATTAACGACAACAGCAATAGGGGGGGGGGGTTATCCACCCACACCACCTGATCTTCCCACCGAGAGCAAGAATGAGCTAACCAATGTGCCACTGTGTTCTTCTTTCTTCCTGCGAAAAGCCAGATAACCTGTTCTCCAGATAAAGATTCATTTACCTTAGCTAACTTCCAGATCATCTCACACCATTCACCCAGTTCTGTAGCATCAACCTCCCTTCTTTGAACCTTATTTATGAGAGTTTGGCAGTCGGACTCCACTATGAGGGGACTCAAACCTCGCCGATTTGCTTCCTCCAAGCCCATAGCCACCGCTCTAGCCTCAGCTTCGATTGCCCGACATCCTCCCCTTTCTTTCTTCATTGAAGCCCCAACGAAAGCTCCTCTGTGATCTCTAATCACACAGCCCATCCCAACACCACCCTGTGAGAGCAGCCCAGCGTCCGAATTAAGCTTATAAATCCCATAAGGAGGAGGGTTCCAGGACTGTTGCCCCTCCGATTGACCATGCACTCCCACCATCGAGCTTCTTCCTTCGTTTGAATTCTGGGCAGCGAGGTAGGAATCCATCCATGACAGAGCACGGGGGATGATCTCGTACTCTTTGAGCTTCGGGTTGTTGTATTTCTGGTTACATCTTTCCTTCCACAAGAACCACATAATAGAGGTAAATTTCTGGATCTTTGAGGACTCAAAAACCTTCCAAATCTCCTTCATCCATTCAATACACGACCTGTTATTTCCCAATTCGTACATATCTCTGACTTCGCTAGTTTGCCATTGTCTCCGCACCCAATCGCAATCCTTGAGCGCGTGCATTTGGGTCTCTCTGAGGCTGCAGAATGGACACTCAACACTGGCATCTTCAAACCTTTCTTCCACATTCACTCCAACCGGTAAGATGTTCTTACACACTTTCCAAAGAAACATCCTCACCTTAGGTTGCGTTTTGAGATTCCAAAGATTCTTCCAAAAATCAGAACTGTCATCATCCTTGCTGTGGCGTCTGGCAACCGTATGTTGTTGTTTGTTTCGAATGCGATAATAGGCTGACTTGACAGTGTAAATCCCTGTCTCCGAATCCTTCCATACCCTTGAGTCCTCTTTGAGAGGATGACTGAGGGGAATATTTTTTATCAATACCTGATCCTGAGTAGAGAAAAGACTATTGATTTTGGAATGATTCCATCTCCCCACTTCCTGATCGATGATGGTATAAACCCGTTTTTTAGGGAGAGCAGTTGAAGGGGCAGGATCAGGGCAGTAGAAAGACTTGCCAGGGATCCACTCATCCTCCCAAATCCAAATCGACTTGCCATCACCTACCTTCCATCGAAAGCCATCAGCAATCATCTCCTTAGCCTTCATTAAACTCTTCCAAATATAGCTAGGACGAAAGCCCTCCTTTGCATCCATGATATCAGACTTAGGATAGTAACGGACTTTGAGAATCTTAGCCATGAGGGAGTTTGGTCTTGTCATTAAGCTCCAAATTTGCTTCCCCAACAAAGCCAAGTTAAAATCCTTAAGATCTCGGAAACCCAATCCCCCTTCTTCCTTATCATCACATAATTCATCCCAATCAATCCACTTGATCTTTGATTCCTTTCCCTTCTGCCCCCACCAGAAGTTTGTGATCAGACTTTGAATCTCTGTTAATGTGCCTTCTGGTAGGAGGAAAACAGACATCGGATAGAGGACTTGGGCTTGAGCAACAGCTTTGATCAAGACTTCTTTACCTGCTTGTGACATGGTTCGGTTCTTCCAATCTTTAAGTTTTCTCCTCACTCTTTCCTTAATGTCTTCGAAAATAGCTTTCTTCGATCTGCTGATCACTGTAGGAAGTCCCAAATATTTCGGATGTTTAGCCACTTCTTTTATATCAAGAGTTCCACATATTTCCAGTCTCCTGCTATGTCTGACGTTCTTGCTAAAAGAAATTTCAGATTTATCATAGTTGATCAATTGTCCCGATTCCTCCGAATAGATTCTTAGAATTTCTTTCAACTGGTCGCAATCCTTCAAGGTTGCCTTTCCAAAAATAATACTATCATCCGCAAATAGGAGATGCGAGATCGAAGGAGCTTTCTTTCTGATCTTGATCCCATGAAGTTTCCCTTCCAGTTCAGCCTTTTTAATAAGAGCAGACAATCCTTCGGCGCACATCAAGAATAGATAGGGAGAAAGTGGGTCTCCCTGACGGAGCCCACGAGATGGAATGAAACTTTCTGTCTTGTGTCCATTAACAATGATCGAGTAAGAGACCGTTGTAACACACTTCATGATAAGATCTGTCCATCTATCCTCAAAACCCATCCTCTTCATTACTTTTTCCAAGAAAGACCATTCTACCCTGTCGTAGGCCTTGGCCATGTCAAGTTTAGCTGCGAAAAAACCATCTTTTGCGCGATCCCTCTGCTTCATAAACTGGAAACATTCAAAAGCAACAATTACATTATCAGTAATGCTTCGCCCAGGAATAAAGGCGCTTTGCTCCTCCGAGATGATAACATCCAGAATACCTCTCAATCTGTTAGCCAAAACTTTCGATATAATCTTGTAAACCACACAACATAAGCTAATGGGACGGAATTCTTTAGCAGTAGAGGGGGATTTCACCTTTGGTATGAGAGCAATAAGGGTATGGTTAATCTCCTGAGGTAACTCACCCTCATTGAAAAACTTTAGAGCAATCTCGATAACTTTGGGACCTAGCAGCTCCCAATTTTTCTGGAAAAAACCTGCAGAAAACCCGTCAGAGCCCGGAGCCTTATTTGGCCCCATTTGATCCAGCGCCTTTTTAATCTCCTCCCCTCTTAAAGGTTTTAAAAGTGTTTCATTCATTTCTGGAGTAACTTTCCTGTTCAGAGCTTGTAGAACCAGTTCAGAGTTAGGAATGGTACCTCTAGTGAAGAGGTGCTTATAGAAATCATTGAGACATCGGGTCACCTCCTGTTGTCCCTTATACAATCTGCCCCCTTCATCTCTTAACATCTTTATCGTGTTCCTCTTCCTTCTGGCGGTAGCTTTAGTATGAAAAAATTTCGTGTTTTTATCCCCACCCCTAAGCCAATCAATTCTGGATCTTTGGATCCATAGAAGCTCCTCTTGTCGAATCAGATCTGCTCTTTCTTCTTCCAATTTTCTTCTCTGATTCAGTATCACTTCATTCTTAGGTTTAAACTTGAAGGATTTTAGGATATTTTCAATCTTATCAATCTTCTTTCGGATGTCTCCGAATTTTCTTCTGCTCCAGCTGAGAAGGTCAGCTCTGCATTGCCTCAGAATGGCTTTGAGGTCTTCATTCGGATTTTCCTCACACGCTTTCTGAACAATAGCGGCACTTTCTGGATCCTCAAGCCAAAACTGTTCCGTTCGAAAATACCATCCCCATTTGATTTCCTCGTTCTCTTTGCCCGCCGTATAGAGAAGAATCGGACAATGATCCGAACCACTTCGATCAAGATGGAAAACTTGGTGATTTGGGTAATGGATTTTCCACTCCCAGTTTGCGACGCACCTATCCAACCTTTCTTCAATGAAACCATTATTAGATCTGCTATTATCCCATGTAAAAGGATAGCCTTCATAACCACAATCCAACAGACTACAAAATTCCAAAGATTCCTTGAATTCTGAAACTTGAGTTTCCTCAATTAATCTGCCCCCTCTTTTTTCGTTTCCTGATAATATTTGGTTGAAATCCCCGATGCAAGCCCACGGCAGGGAGTTGACATCGCGTAGGTTCCTAAGTAAATCCCAGGAACGAAATCTTTCATCCCTTTCAGCCCATCCGTAGAATCCCGTTAGCCTCCATTGCAACCCATCAGTTTCACTCCTCACAATAGTATCAATGTGATGAAGAGAAGAAGATAGATGAGAAATTGACACCTCTTCCATCCAGAACAAGCAAAGTCCTCCCGCTTTCCAGCCTCTGTCGTTACGTGCTGCCACTCCACAACCATCAAAGAATCCAAGATTCTTCCTTACCTCCCTCCAACCTGTTTCATCCTTTCGAGTTTCCATGAGGAAAAGCACATCCGGTTGATACTTCCTGACCAGTCTTTTGAGCTTACCAACTGCCGAGGTGCTGCCCAAACCTCGACAGTTGTAGCTTATGATCTTCATTGGGCTCGGCGGCCCTGCTCCTCGGCAGGGACCGCCACATCGCCATCCATAGGGGGAGTTTTTAGGGCTTTCTGTTTCTTCTCTTGAGTAACATCAACATCAATCTCCATATCGTCATAGCTATCTCTTTTTCCAGCTGTCACTGTGTTAACTGTCTGCTGCCTAGTAGAAGGGTTCGTTCTATCGACTCTTTTCCACTTTTTCCCTTCAGTTCTCACAGAGAGAATCACATTCTCATTTGCTGACTTCTCTTTGGATACTTCATTATTCTCAAACTCTTTCCTTTCCACTAACAGGAGAGTGCTTTGTTGATTAGTATGCCTATCTGAGTCTTCTATTTTGTTTTCTACTGCCTTGTTTTGTTCCCCATTCCCTCTTCCTTTTACAGACAAAAACTGTAGATCATCCACAATGTCATTGCTTTGAGGTTTTTCCAGTGTATCAACTTTTCTTAATGGCACCACCTCCGTAGTCTTCTTCTCTCTCTCCGCTTTGACCTCCTCCCAAAGCTTAACCAGGTTCTTTGTTTTCTCTTTTTCCTTCATTGGAATTCTTCTTAGGGGTGATTCTGCTCTAAGCCAAGGTCCATAAGGATCTGCCTCATCGTTTTGTCCCTCCTGATTCTTCGCACAAGATTTCTTCAAATGACCCAGGATTCCGCATCTGAAGCAGTATATAGGCATCCTTTCGTATCCAATTTTGTAAGAGACTGTACCTTCCTTTCCTTGCAGTTTAATCACCCTTCTAAGCGGTTTCGTCACATTCATCGTAACTCTTAATCGCAAAAACTCACTGCTAACACCAGAATGCAGCTCGTCCCATCTAACAAAACCCCCGAACATCTCACCAATCTTCTCAGCCATCTGCTGGTTTCGTAGTTTTAGTGGTAGACCTCGAACACGCACCCAAAAATCTGTATTTGTGAAATCCAATTTCTTCATATCCAGATCTGGAGGAACATCTTTGAAGATAAGTAGCTGTCGCTCTAGATGCCAAGGTCCTCCAAGTAGGACCTTATTTTTGTCATCGTAGCAATATAGTTGTAAGCGTAGACTGTTATCTCTAGTAACTTGAATATCGAAGTCTTTTTTCAGCTTCCACGCCTCACCCAGGATTCTTTTCATGATGTTGACAGGGGGGGGGGGGGGGGTTTCCTGGATATCAATCTGCCAGTCACTCCAAGTTCCTTTATTACCTCTTCAACCCCTTCAGTTTCCGTTGTTGCATCAAGACTAATAATGGTCTCCTCATCCTCCGTTAATTCAATATTGGATAGCCTTTTGGCTATTTCCTGTTCCATTGAAGGAAAGCCACCAACTCCACCCACCAAGGAATGGCACCACAGAAACCGAAAGAACAACACCCGACAAGAAAGCTTGCCGAAGAACACTAAAAGACAGGGCAGAACTAAGGAATCCAATACTGGGAGCACCAGGGGAACTAGACAGCAGGAAGATCAATCAACGCGGAAGAATGAAGAAAGAAAATCCGAATCCCCGAGGGCGAAGGGAGGGGAGATGAAACAGCACACTGAAACCAGTGAGGAGACGAACAGACACTCCAAAAGGAGAGAAAAAACCACACCCCTCTCTCTGAACTTCGGTGGGTGTTTAACTGTTGCTTTTCTAATTTCTTGCTGCTGCCTTCTTGTCCATTTTGAGTTTTTTTTTTCACGCACTACAAGAAACAACACCTACCGACATAAATTCTTAGCCACGGTTATTTCAATTATGGCTGGTATACTAAAACGGCCACGACCGTTATAACTCTTGGTAAATTTTTATAGTTTTGAGGCATAAGTGGTGTGGCAATAATGAGTGTTTTAGCTACTAAATTATCCGCCACAACTTAAATTCATAGCTCTTAGTAAATTTATTGCCTTAAAAGCACTTATTCGTGGCTATACTTCTTACATTTTGCCACGTTCAAGAAATTGTGGCATAAATTATTTTTTAGCCATGAATATCATTAATTGTAACTGATTTTGATAACAATTTAGCTTCGAATGTCGAACTTCATGGCAACTTTTTTATCAAATCACTATTAGCCATAACCGATGAATTATGGCTGTAATGGTGAACAAGACTATGACCTTAATTATTATTTACATTATATGATATGTGCACAGTTATACATAGGGATGGCAACCAAACCCGAACCCACGGGTACCCATCCGACCCAACCCGGTCAACGCGGGTAAAATCCGTGTTGACGGGTTTTGGATTGGGTTTGGGTTTAAACCCGTTCACTATTCACCGGGTTGGGTTTGGGTTTCGGTAAACCTGACCCGTGGGTACCCGCCCACACATATAATTAATTTTCTCGGTATATTTAATATTTTAAACAACTAATCTTATTTATGTTTGTGGAGACATGTCTAATTTTTTCTTTCTAATTGTGTAGAATGAAGTTTGTGTTATCGAGTGGAGAGTGAAGAAACTTAAAAGAAAGGAAGAAGCCTTCAATTAATATGTTATTTATGGATAATTTATGATTTACTTCAATTTTCTTGAGTTTTCTAGATTGCGTTGAACAATGTGTATAGTTAATTTGTGATTTGCTTGAATTTTCTAGAATAGTGTTTTAAATATGGATAATTTGTATTGAGAGATTGATATTTGACTTTAATTTTGATAGGAACATGTTATTGTAAATTTTTTACGACAAAAACCCGTGGGTACCCATGAACCCGCGGATACCCAGCGGTTTGGGTTGGGTTTGAGTTTTTCAAACCCAGTGGGTTTTATCCCGGATTTTTTTTCACGGATAAACCCATGGGTTTGGGTTTGGGTTTGGCAAAACCCGACCCAACCCGACCCATTGCCATCCCTAGTTATACATATTCATAGCTGAAATTTATTAGGGATGACTTTTTTGTGCTAATGTTGATATTTATATATATGCCTCTTATGAAATCATTGTTGTCGTGTAGTGAAGAAAAAATCTAATAACAAAAGTGATTAAATAATTTTGTTCATACTCCAATAAATAAAGAAAAAAGTTTAAAATAAAAGAATACATTACAGTTACCCAAAAAATACCAACTTATAAAAAAGAATGAAAGAATCTACACTACTGCACTACATGGAACATAGAATGAAAGAAGGAATCTATAGGACTAGAACCGCCAAATCAAAGTCGAAATCCTATGCTGATACTGCTAGCTCAATGGTTTGTTGGTCACGAGATGAAAATTGCACCTATTGCATGTGAATACATTTATTATTAATTGAGTAAAAGACCTTCATTTGTATATTCAAAGCAGAAAACATTAAATTAATAAATTAAAATTTTTACCTTATAACAAGAAGTCGTCATTATCTTCAGACTCGTCGGAACTCTCTCCTCATCTGCACTGTTCTCACTATGACTGCTATTATCATCAGAATCATCATGTGCATCTTCATTTTACTCCCAATCATCTAGTTCATTGCCTTGAACAAGATTATAAATTGGATAATTGGCTACAGATTTCTCTTGTTGAAAAGCCTCTTCTTGTTCATATGATTGTTTATCAACTGAGTCCTCAGAGAAGTGATCAAAAGAACTTTGAGATTGACCTTTCAAAACAACAATCCAATTAGGATTAGATCCATCTTGAACATAAAATACTTGTTCCACCTGGGAGGCAAGGACAAATGGCTCATTTGTCACAAGCTTACGAGATGTATTAACACTAACATAGCCATATTTGTCGACCTTCACTCCCCTGTCAATATTCTCAACATCCCACCATTCACATTTGAACATTACAACCCTGTTTCCTCCCAAATATTGAAGCTCAATTATTTCAGTCAAAACTCCATAGTAATCAACAACCTTAGCACCCATAAGCCCCTTTAACAAGATGCCACTATTTTGTTTGGCTTTTCTTGTTTCATGTTTTTGGGTATGAAATCTGAAACCATTGATCACATATCCATTGAACCTCTGAACACCATATAAAGGACCTCGAGCTAAAGATAATAATTCTGCTCTTAGTTGTACATATTTGTTTGTACATAATTGTGATGCCTATATATATATATAACCCTGGGTACCGTAGAATCCTCATATATGGTGCCTTCTACTATACCCCGGGTGAAATCCGGGGTACCGCATACCTTGAGTATGAAAACGCTATTTAGACCTCGAATTAGCACAATTTTTGGGCATGATACTATACCATAATCCTTAATGAGTGAACCCTAGGTCCTAATTATCTAAATCATAAACTATAAACCCTAAGATGATGCATTGATTTTTTTGCCTATATTTGGACGAATAATAACCGTCGATTATTGTTTCAAATTAAATTGATCTTGGGGTATAAGATTTAGAGAATTAAGACCTAGATTTTGATCTTTAAGGGTTAGAGTATAGTATCATGTCCGAAAGATCAGTCAATTCAAGTCCTGGATAGCGTTTTCTTACTCAAGGTATGCGGTACCCGAGATTTCACCCTGGGTACCGTAGAACTCCTCATATATATATACATGCTTGAATGAATTATTCTTTATACAGAAAAAGGAAATAAACTTACATGATTTTTAAACCATTCGGCAAAGTCTTCGTTCTTGGAAGATGTTTCATATTCTCTACAAAATGATTTAATAACAATTAATATATATTATTTTTTTTTATCAAGGAGTGATTAGTATAACCAACCGGTAGAAGACATATACCTTATAAATGGCTGAACTTCCTCACAATTATTTAGAATATAAATATGAGCTTGAGTTCTCTCCAAATCTTCCAATGATCTATACTTATCCATGGTTAATGGATAATCATTTTGATTGAAAACTGATACTTTTTACATGAACCAATAGAATCACGATCACCATTTCTTTCTAGTTTATCAAACGGATTCTGCACCCCATGCAAATATCTTGAGCAAAATATGATACTCTCTTCCACAATATATCCTTCTTCCATACAACCTTTAGGATGATTCTTATTTCGAACATAACATTTTAACTTGCGAAGAAACCTGCATAAAACAAACACAATAATCAATCAAAACTCACACATCGAAAATAATTAAAGTAATACAGCATAATCTTTTTGTATCATTACCTCTCAATAGGGTACATCCATTTGAACCACTCCAGTTTAATGGTTCAGTGATTCACTATTTTAACCACAAAAAATTAAGATAAATAATACTTAAACTTAAACTAAGATCAACCAACCTAATAGCTAATTTTTTTCTTGTTTCTCGGTCTCCTTGTCGGCTTTATATGGTCAACTATGGACTGTCAATCTAATTACTAACTTGAATTTTCTTAAAAATTTATAATTTCTTTTGTGAGAGTGATTTGTTAGAACTTTAGGTTATGGATGATATGGATTTGATTATTCATGGTTAGAGTGATAATTGAATGGGTTATAGGTATAATATGCCCCTCTACTATGACACTTTATCAAACATGCCCCTATATTATTTTTTTACAGCAAACATGCCCCTGTACTTTGTAAAAATGATCAAACATGCCCTTTTGCTAAAATTTTCATCCAAAAACCGTTAACCAAAGCCGAACTTTAGTTTGGGCGACACAAATGACTAAAATATCCATAATAAATTCACTTTAGAATTTTTTTCGTTTTTTTGTATAATCAAATAATTCAAATAATTTCACTTTGAAAAGACCCAGGGAAATAAAACAGAGGATAAAACTGACATTTTTCCTCCCAGTTGCCGATGTCGGGTCATCTAATTCTCGGTTCAACCACGATTGGCGATTTTTTCAATGAAAATTTTAACAGATTGGCATGTTTGATAATTTTTTCAAAGTACAAGGGCATATTTGATGTAAAAAATATTAGAAGGGCATGTTTGATAAAATGTCATAGTAGAAGGGTATATTATACCTATAACCCTATAAATTAGTATATTATATATGTCTTTTATGTATAACACATAAACGACTAACCAACTATTCTATATCGATTTATCGTTGAACAATTAAGTTTTCCATTCATCATCGGGTCTGATTATGGAAATATAGGAATTGACCACGGTAACCGGGATATTACCACAAATGGTTAATTTTGAAAAGGAAAAAGGGTTTGATAATAAAGTAATAATTATCCTAGCTATAGGTAAGTAGCTAGATCGGTTACGAATCTCACCTTATTGTGGGAACTTTTTTCTCTTTACTAGTAGGGGGTCCCGTGGTTCCTATGTTTTCTCCATCTGCTAAAGGGTATCGCCTACACGAATGGTTTCCACCATCCAAATCCGAAACCTAAATATTGAGCGGAACCTCATAGCGGGAAGGAAAATTGGGCGCACTTTTATAGCGGGAAGGGAAATTCAAAGTTTATTTCAGTCGCCGAATAGTGTAGAGTGATTTCTCCTATAAATTCCAATGTTCCTTTTCTTCGTAAGAGTTTCCTTAGACCTAGTTACAAGTCACCATAGCTGCATCGACGAGCATTACGATTACTGGGAAGCTTATTTGACGAGGTAATTAATAGGCAAATTATTTCAAGCTTTAATGGAGTATGGGGTTTATTTTTTCACCATGACTTAGGTCACTCGTTCAATTTAATGGAGTATGGGGTTTATTTTTTCTCCTTTGTTGTTTAGCCTACACTTAGATAGCAAAATATTGGGGCTTGTGTTGTTCCTAAACTCTTTTGTGTTTATATATGTTTACCTGCGTATCACTATTTATATTCATTCCAGAATTAGAATCATGGCTTCGTATGTAGGAGCTTATTCTAAAATATCATTACACTCAGGTGGACCATCAATCATGCCAAGACGGGGAGGTTTTAGAAAAGGAAAAAAGAATGCGAAACAAAAAGACAAAAGCAACCTGTTTGAAAGAGAGCCTGAACAAGAAAATGTTGTTGATCAATCTCGTTTCGGTGACAAGGGTCTTGCAAGTTCAGTAGATCCTTCGGAGGATGATGATCAATCTCTTTTAATGGAGATAAGTTCTACTATCTTAAACCACAAAACTCCGATTAATGATTTGAACGGGCTGGTACAATTGGAGGATGATGATTTTGTTCTACCCATGCTTTCCTCATATAAGAAATGTAGAATTTCTACTTTTGAAATATACACCTTGTCAAGCAAACATGATGTTCTGCCAAATGCACATCTTGATGGAGAATTTCATATGGATGATGATTCATCAGAAGATGGGGGGGAAACAAATATTGGTTCGGAGCATAATGACACAGGTTTGTATACTTTTATTTCTTATTTAATACATTATAATAGCAATTTTCATACTTTTACCACCTATGTATTGCTAACGATAAATTAACACAATTCAATATCTCCTTTTTTTATAATTTACAAATAGGTCCACAAAAACAAAAGAAGAAAACAAGGGGTCCAACCCGTTGTATAAGAATTATCGGATTGGAGGAAGGAAATAAACTATCTGTAGAATTCGATGAGGATCATCAACCGGTTGGTGAAAATGCAACAAGTTTTGTAGCATTCTTGAGAGTAACTGTTCGAAATCGTTCTTGTTGTCCTTTGCAAGTGAAGGAATGGAAGGATATCAGTAGAGATGCAATAGATCATATGTGGGGAATCAAAATGGTAAGTATTCACATTTTTCATTCATTTTCTTTTGGAATTATTTAGCATCTAAATAGAAATTGTATATACTTGTTTTCTTACTACAATTCTTTTCATTTATTGATTCTCGTAGAAGAAGTTCACGTTTGAACTCCCAATGGGTAAGACGGAATCAATCATTGGTCACATGAATGCTCTATACAGGGATTATAGACATAAACTCAAGAGGAATTACTTCAACAAGAAGAATAACTATGAAAGTCGTCTGAAAAATAAGCCTAAAAGAGTCTCCATCAGTGATTGGAAGTATCTTGTTAATTTATGGAGTGATCAACCATTTCAGGTTCCATCACATATTCTTATTCAATATAATAATTTATATAATACTTTTTATATTATTGTTTTCACGTACTTTTCCATCATACCGTTTGTAATTGATGTAGGAAAGGAGCTTGATAAACAAAAGGAACAGATCGAAGCATTCAATGCCACCTTACACTGGAACGAAAAGTCTTGCACGACTTCGATATCAAGTGGTATTATATATGTTTTATCATAGAAATTAATTTATTATATAGCTTACTAAAATGAAAAACTAAAAATAATTTCTATTTTAGAAAAAGAGAAATGGGGCTACACCTTGGCGTGTGGATGTTTGGATTGAATCGTGCAAGAGAAAGAAAGGAAACGCTCTAGATTCTGATTCACAGATTGCCCTTGTAAGTGAACTCCATAAACACATCAAGCTTGAAAACATACTCATTTCGTTTAGATTTAAATTATTATTTTAATCTCACAAATTTTTGTTCTCATTGCAGTCTCAACTTGATCAGTTAAAAAAACAACGTGTTGAAGGGCATATTTCTATTAATGATGAAGAAATGTTTGAAAAGGTTCTTGGACCCGAGAAGAATTGTTATGTGCGTGCTTATGGACCTGGGAAAGGTGTCACTGAATATTTTGGGATTAAGCCAACAAAAGCTAAACTTACACCGCAAGTGGAAGCTTCTAGAAGGGAAGCCAAGGAACAGGTTGAAGAAGCCAAGAAGGAAGCTAATGAACGAGTACATCAAATTACCAAAGACGTTGAAAAAAAAATAGCGGAGATGAACAAAAAATGGAAAGAAAAGTTTCAGATGTACTTGCTGGAAGGGAACCTCCACTTTCACGAAACATGTCCGATGAAGAAGTAAGTCACCAATGTGATATTAGCTATGAGTTTCCTTTTTTAACGTTGTTGTAAATCTCGTCTTTCCAATTGAAGAGTTTAATACATTGTCTCTTTTTTGCAGGTTATGGAAAATACATAATTATCTGCAAGATTTGAAGAATTATTTTTTCTTTCTGAAGACAATTAATTTTATTTTAGTAAAACTCTGTTAAGGATTGTAATTCTATTTTGGAGGCCATCTTTGTTGGATTTTTTTTGTGAGAATCTTTGTTGTATATTTAATAATATTATTTATAGATGAATTATTATGTTAAATTTGGAAGCATTATTTAATATGCTATATATTATTAAAATAATTTGTGAATCCACAAAAAAAAGAATAAAATCAGTATCTGAGCGACAATTGTGATTTGCATATTATAGCCACGATTTATCATACCGAAGTCAACAACCAAATTATTTTACCGAATTGTTTTTTTACAAAAGCGTAATGTAAAATTAGCTACAGTTGCAAAGCAATTTAGACATAAAGTTCCCCTATAACTAGATGTAATTTATGTAGCCACAATCATATTTTGTAGCGAAAATTTAAAGTATCTAGTCACAAAATTATTTGTGGCACAATTATGAATGATTGAGCCATGATTGTTATTACATGAAGCAAGAGAAAAAGCAATATAGCTATAGAATTATTTGTGACAAATAATGTGTTCACTTTTAGCCTCAACACGTCTCTCCGAAGCTATTTAAACCTTTTGCCAGGATGCTTTATATTAGTAGCAAGAACTTTGATATTATAGTTACAAAACGATTCGTAGCAAAAGAATAAATATTCTAGACATAAAAAAAGTATTTAAAGCTATAGCCTATATCTTTAGCCACAGTTTTTTTCATAGTAAGAAATAGAATTTTCTAATTACAAGAATATTTGTGGCAAATCAACAACTAAAAGAGCCACGAGAAATCTTGTCTGAAGCTATATATATCTCGTACTTTATGGCAAGAAACATATTTTGACAAATCCCAAATGAAACTATTTGTGGCAAATTATTAGATAAAGCCGTGCATTATAGTCTTTATAGCTAAATATATTGATGGTTCTGCTACTTATAATAACTTTTGTAGCAAGCAAATATCGCCTTTTTAGCTATATTATATGTAGTTCATAGTTAAAACAATTAGTTTTAGCCATGTAAGTGACAAAATACGTAGCTAACCTTTAGCTGCGGCACTTTTAGCCACACAAGCTGCATGGCGAATTATTTATAGCTATATGATATAGCTACAAAATAGTTAGTTTTAGCCATGAAAATCATGACTGCATGTGTGTTTTCTTGTAGTGGCGGGTTTGTGAAGAAGGAGCAGCAAAAGTAGATGCTGAGCTTCTTTTTTTTTTTTTTTGCCCTCCTTTGTCTCTCTTTGTGTCTGTACGTGGCTAAGAAGAGAGGGGATTTTGTAGTGTTCTATTTTTTATGTGATTTGTTTGTGTGTATTTTCGTAGCCAAGAAGAAGAGAAGGAGCAGAAATTTTGCAGAGTGTTTATGCTCTTCGTGTTGTCTGCAGATCAGAGGAGAAGAAGAAGCCGGACATGAAGCTTGGGACGAATAAGAAGAATAAAAGGAAAAGAGTCCGACTTCCCCCAGTTCTTGTTGAGTTTCGCTGGGAAGAATTAAAAGAGAAAGGGTTGAGAGTAATTTTTCCTGTCTCTCGAGCTTTGTAGTTTTAGAGGGGAATTCCAGTCCAGAGGAAAAAGAAGAAACCGCTCCCCTGTTTTGTAGCAGAAGGGGTACTGTTGGGCCTATTGGTGGGGATTTTGATTGGCTAGTAGGGATGTAGGTTGAGTTGTATTTTTTTGATTGGTAGTTGAGTGAGTTGGGCCTTGATATGAATAATGTATGGTTTTGGTTTTGGGTCTGACCGAGTTTGGTCAATGGGTCAGATCTGTATGTTGACTATGGGGTTGACTTTCCTTGACCAGGTTTGATCCAAGTTGACCAGTGCTTGGGCTTAATTTTTTGGTTGAACTTTGACTTTCGAATTGGGCTTTGCTCTTTGGCCTTTCTTATTCTTCCACAATTCTATTTTTGAAATCAATACCCAATCACCACAAAAGTTCATAGATCCAAATAACCAAACTATAAGCAATTGCCTAATTCATTTACCCAATACCATAGTGCAATTTCTTGACACTACAGAAACAAGTCTGAACCTCAAATCAAAATTGGTATCTCTAGATTTACTATTGCTAATCTTAGTTGTCTAATTTCACTTTAAACGCTGCAAATATTTGTTCAAAAAGTTGCTTAATATTCACAATGGCCAACCTTGAATGACTAAAGTTTTCTTAATTAAATACTTTTAACCCGGACAAAATGTGGTGCCTACACTTTCTATCGGTCTCTATTCCCTAAAGATAAGCAGCTAACCGACTCGGTTTGTGGCGGGAACATGTTGACTAAGACGCCACCACAGTTGAACCAGCTCTTTGAGGAGATGGCAGAGCAGGGGTATGATTGGGGAACAACCAGGAGGTCTCGGCAAGCATCAGGCCGGGGTGTGCATGATATGGATACCCAGTCATGTGAGTTGGTGCAGGTTGTCTCTAAACTGGTTTCAGCTATGGATCGCTGTGGGATATTCCTGGTACAGGGCAACAGACGATGTATTGCCAGTTGTATGAGAGCACAAATCACAGGGTGGAGGTGATGCAAACCGGGTTACTTCACAAGATGTCCATCGAGTTCGAAGAACATACAATGATCGCGGTCCGAAGATGAAGGCTTTAGAGGCTTGAGAAGGCATTCAAGGGTCCATTTCAAGCTTATTTGGCCCAGAATTTCACCGAAATGGAGGTCGACTTGTTCGTGGGACGAGAAGTGATGATCATTAGTGTTGGAGCTATTTCAGGCCAAATACCCGGTCAAGAAGGTCAAATATCCAGTAGGGTATTTTGATTGGGTATTTACCCTAACCAGAAGACCACCTGTTGTGACACCCTGTCGGGTATTTTTGCCCACGATAAGGTATTTTTGCCTTTGACAGCAAACAACCTATTTTCAGTTTCCTTTGTGGATTATGTGACTTTTACTCCAAAACCCGAGTTTCCTTGTTATTTTTGGCACAAAAACTTTGTAGCCTATATAAGGGGCTGAACTAAGTCTTCTTTCTTGATCGTGGAATCGATACAGCAAGAGGAGACCGATGTTTTCTGCTAGCACATCACCCTAGCCGAATAGTCATTCGAATACCTGGCCCTCTTCTCGACTCGTGGATTTGGTTTGGGTTATTATCTGTTTTTTGATCGTTGTGCTTCTAATCGTTCTTTGTTGCGATTCTAATTGTTTAAGTCCAGGAGTTGGAGCCTCGGCTTATATTAGGAAGACTGCCAAGCTATGAGAGAGTCCAGCACACCACAGGACCAATTGAATTTCATTAATAATGCTCGGCGCAATGACCCCTAAAGTAATACATACAACGAGGGGTGACACCATCATCCTAATTTCTCTTGGAGTTGCAACAACAATCCCAAGCTAACTGGCTTCCAAGCTCCTGCAAGTGGTTTTCAAAACCAGAGGCACCCATATTGGCCTGGCCCTGGCTAGATGCAGCAGCAACAACCATTTTATCAGCCCAGACAGGGGCAGGCTTTTCAACAGTCCCCACAACAGCAGCAGTACCAACAGCCTAGTCCATCTCCATTAGTCGCAACACTGGGTGATCCCGTGTCAGAACTAAGGGATCTAATGACCACCTTAGCCAGCACCAGTACCCAAAAGTTCAGTAAACTGGAGCAATTCATGAAAGTGGTAACGGGAAAATTCACGGAGATTGAAGCTAGCCAAAGGCACCAGCAGGTACTTTTGCAGGAAATGGACCTAAAAATCGGGCACCTAGCAGATGCCCTTGCTTCCAAACCGGCTGGTATACTTCTTGGCCAACCCCTGCCAAACCCCAGAAATCATAAGGAGGGGTTGCACGCCATCATGCTGAAAAGTGGGACTTTAATTGAGGAGCACATAACATATTCCATTGCTAATAATATGACTATTATCTCGCATGTGCATGCTTTATCTCATCAGGTACACTTGTCTGTCGTGTATCCTCCGGTGTCGCCCATTTTCCAGGATTCTCCCCTCATTCCTTTGCCACCATTCCCGTCCACTTCGTTACCAAAAGAAAAGCTCAAGGAGGAGTGGCGGTCAAAGCTGTAAGCAGCTAAGCCCAATCAAAAGACAGCTGGCGACCACTATGAGCTGGTCCGAGACCCTGAGCCACGACCCACCCTAGCCATTCGAGTATTCACTCGCTTGCATCCTGCTGGATGGCCGGGTCGAGTTCACTTGTGCCGGTGGTCACATCCAGCGTGTGCATGGCCACCATTTGAAGTTGTACCTCAAGAGCCATGTGGATCTGCTCTTGGAGGCACCTGGCCCTAATTCCCTCTAAGCATCCACTTGCGGCGTCTAGCTAAAGACGTAAAAGAAAGCGCTTGTGGGGAGGCAACCCTGCCATGCTTTGCATTTTCTTTTCCTTCTTTTTGATTTTTGGGATGCTGCATCGGTTTGTGTGTTTGTCGAGCTCCCATTTTGGATGAAAACTATCCCTAAGAAACCGTTTTCTAGTGGTTGTTTCTGAGACCCTCCCCTGCAGCGACTCGTCCCTCTTCCAGTCCCGTGTTCTCTCTGCTCCATTGAGGGCAATGTCGATCTTAAGTGTGTGTGTGTGTGGGGGGGGGGGGGGGGGGGGGGGCTGTTATTGTATTTGGGTGTGATGAGTGATGTTGTTTTGCTTGTCTTGGAGTCTAGTCCAATGTCCAAATTTTGATTTGAGGGCTCCAAGTACGTGTTCTTTGCAATAACCTGCTCAGTATGCTTTGAATTGACAGTCTTTATAGTACTATTCAACCTAGGGAGGTAGTTGTAGCACTATGGAGGATGCTGAAGTATAAGATTTCTCCTATCTTTCTCTTTGTTGTGCCGGTTGATTGTGTGAACTAGGTGATTTAGGTTATTTGATTCATAA